AAAATTGACTATTACTTGAATCAAAACACTTGAAAACACAAATTAAAACAGATTCTAACTAAACACAAATTAAAACAGATTCTAACTAATTAGACACACTAAAGTAAAGGGGAATTGAGTTTTGGACGAAGTTGAAACAAACAAACAAGTATGAAAAACTAGACAGATTGTAAAACAAATTTGAGAAATAAGATGATGGATGGGATAGCTAGAGGCTTTTTCTCCACACATGACATGTATGCAAATAACTCGATTTCCAGTTACTACTTCATTGAATTATGAACGACAATGCTCCAAATTAACCATGACATCACTAGTTAACTCTCAGATTTTCCTTGTTTTATTGGATTGGATGACATCATTCAACAACCCAAAACATTCTTCTAAAGTTCCCTACATGACATCATAATAGAGATACAATAAAAGATCATTACGTTTAATGAAAATCATAAGCATTGACAAAGCACTTGCAACTATGACATGATGTCACTCATGCTAGGAATTGAACTTAACGCGATTGTTTATAAGCGACCTTCACTACATGTGAATATAAGTTTGTAATGATTATGTGAAACTTCCTTATATTCTAGCAACGGATTTATGCATGCCAATTAAGTGTCGACCCTTAATTAACAAATACAAATAAGTTATCAATCAAATAGTTAAGCCAATTGCATTCACGATTCAAGAGTTCATAACTGGAATTTATAAAATTATATTGCACACATAATCATGGCTTTGAAATCACCCCTAGCCAAGAGGGGTTTAGCCACTCATATTTACAACAAACAAAAGAAAATGAATTTAAACATTAGAAACAAAAGAAAGAAAACACCTAAACGCTCCAACGATCCAAGTTTGACAGCAAGTACGTCCAAGCACTTTCCTTCCCTTCCTTTGCTACGGCACAAGGTGTTGGTAAGTGTTTGAAGATTTGTTTGTATGGAGGAATGGATGTGAAGATGAATGGATGTGTTTGGATTGATTGGAGGTCATGGCAAGGAAAGGGAAATGAAGGTGCATGGAATTGTGTTTTTGTTGTGGGAATGTGTAGAATGGTTAAGAAGAAAAGACTCTGCCTTGCGGCAGAATGTGTCTTCCTCCCTTCTCTCTAAACTGTCCCCCTGAATGTGTCTTTGGATGGATATATTTATAGGCTAGGGAGAAGATGTAGTGGGTGGTGGTAATGAGTGGATGTAGTGGTAGGTGAATGTGTTGGGTGGTTGAAATGAGTGGATGTGTTAGGTGAAATGAGTGGATGTAGTGGTATGTGTTGGGTGGTTGTAATGAGTGGATGTGTTGGGTGAAATGAGTGGATGTAGTGGTAGGTCAATGGATGTGTTGAAATGAGTGGATGTAGTGGTAGGTGAATGTGTTGAGTGGTTGTAATGAGTGGATGTGTTGGGTGAAATGAGTGTCCTAAAATGGTTATTTATAGGGAGAGGATGATGCACAAACTTCAAATTTCGTCCATTCCTTTTGCTCCAAGCATATGTTATCCATTCCATGCCAAAAAATGCTCCAAAATGCTCCAAAATGCACTTCTTTGCCACATTAACCCTTTGGACCTACAAACCCACGAAAATAGCTTAAAATACTAAAATAACTACGAACTAACAATATAAATGCCAAGAAACAAGCTAACTAAGTCGCATAAATATGCTCCTATCATGTACCTACAAGAAATTGAATTTGATTTGGAAGATATAGATGACCCTCTATCATACTCTCGAGCAATGTAAACTGCTCAAGCAAGTCTATGGAAGAAAGCAATGGAAGAAGAACTTCAGTCCATGTTAAAAAACAATGTTGGGACTTTGGTGAATTTTGAAGGTGGATCAAAACCTATAGGCTGCAAATGGGTTTATAAAATCAAACGAGATGCTCAAGGAATGATTGAAAGGTACAAAGCTCGGTGGGTGGCAAAAGGTTATACACAGAGATGGGGTATAGACTTTAATGATACTTTTTCTCCAATTTCTTCAAAAGACTCCATGAGGGTAATTATGGCTTTAACAGCCTATTATGACTTAAAGTTGCACCATATGGATGTAAAAACTGCTTTCCTTAATGGAGACTTGGAGGAAGACATTTGCATGGTTCAACCACCTGGATTTGCTGAAATTAGGAAGGAAAATATGGTCTGTAAGTTGAATAAGTCAATCTATGGGCTTAAACAAGCTTCCAGACAATGGTATATTAAATTCGACAGAGTGGTTGTAGCACATGGTTTTACTGAAAACAAACTGGATGATTGCATATATTCCAAGTTTAATGGGTCAAAGTTTATTTTCTTGGTATTGTATGTAGATGATATTCTGATAGTAGGTTCAAACCTACAATTATTGCAAGAAACCAAGGCTATACTCAGCTCAAATTTTGAAATGAAGGATTTGGGACAAGCACACTGTTCTGGGTATAGAGATTATGAGGGACATAAAGAAGAATTTATTGGGATTGTCACAAAATGGATACATTGAAAGAGTCTTAGCAAGATTCAACATGGAAAAATGTAACAAAGCTAATGTACCTGTCAATAGAGAGGACAAGTTTTCTTGAGAACAGTGTCCAAAGAATGAGTTAGAGAAGAAAAACTGGATATGAAGCCATATGCTTCTCTAGTAGGCAGTTTAATGTATGCAAACATTTGCACAAGACTTGATCTTGCATTCATTGTTGGTCTACTATGAAGGTTTCGGTCAAATCTAGGAGAAGCACATTGGATAGCTGTGAAAAAGGTTTTAAGGTATTTATAAAGAAACAAAGAGCTTCATGCTAGTCTATGGCAGAGAAAATGAATTAGAGCTTATTGGTTACACTGACTCAGATTTGGATGGGGACGTAAATAAAAGAAAGTCGACTGGAGGCTAAATGGAGGAGCCATTTCATGGAAGAGTGCCAAGCAAACTGTGATTTCTACATCTACTATGGAAGCAGAGTTTGTGGCATGCTTTGAAGGCATGAAACAGATAGTTTGGGTTAAGAACTTCATCAGTGAGTTGAAGGTTGTAGATTCAATTCAGAAATCGATTAAGATATTTTGTGATAATAGCTCTGTAGTTTTTTTCTTGAAGAACAACAAAAGAACTTCAGCTTCAAGGTTGATGGATGTGAAATTCTTTGAGGTTAGGGAAAAAGTTAGACAGGGTGCAATTATAGTGGAGCATTTGACTACTGATTTGATGATTGCTGATCCTCTAACAAAAGCTTTGCCTAATGATATTTTCAAGTCTAATGTTACTCAGATTGGAGTGTTGGAAGCTTTTGAAAAGTGGGAGTAATTGCTGTTGTAGTCAGAATTTTATTAAAGCTACTGGAAGATGGCAATGGATTACTTTACAAGGAAGGTATTCTGCAAGAATTTTCTGGAAGCTAAGTGATTTAGTTAGCTTTTCTTGTTTGTTTTGTTTGCAATTAGTTATGATTTTGTTCAGTGCAATTAGTTATGATTTTGTTCAGTGCAATTAGTTATGATTTTGTTCTAGAGAATAATTTTTCAATTCAAAAAAGAGCTTTTGAATCATTTCTAATACTGATAAAGCTGTCGAATATGTCATAACTGTGTTGTTCACCCTGTAATGAATGATTTTGAGTTAACAGTTTACTGTTAAGACTGATAGATATTTTTTATATCGATTTTGGGCTATGTGAGTGGGAGTATACGTTTTGGTTTACTCTTGTATTGAGACGCATTTCTATAAAGAATAAACTAGACGTTATGATTTGTAAGGTGATTTTGTATTATGTGTTACAAAGAAACTTATAAATTCATTGTTTTGGCTTGTGTAAGCTGGTTGTATTTGTGCACTGGAGTAATTGATAAAAGACTTGTATGATCACCTTTATGATAGTTTGAGATAATTATATGTTGTGATGAATCATACTTAAGTGGGAGAATGTTAGAGTATGAGTATGATTCTTACATGTCTTGGGATAATTAACATTATCATAAATAAGTCTTAGTCATGTCGGCTAAAGTAAATCCTATTGTGATTGGGATATTGAGAACTCTTGTATTTGCACAAGTATGGAACTCATTCTGGTACGAGGAATAGTATTCCTTATTGGATTGTAATAGGGCAATCTGTGGATTAGTAAATAAACATAAGCCATTGTTCTCACACATAACGCTCTCACTTTCGAACCAATAACCTATTCTTGGGAGAGCATTGAGGTTTGTAGAGAAGAGAAGGTTGTGTGCAAAGAGAGTTATGGCTTCTACCTTAATGAATATGTCTATAGGTTAGTTCTCTGTCATATGTGGTTTATCCTTTGTTTTTCATATGCAAATCAATACTATAATTTAATTGCTTGATCTTTTGGTTCTTGGGTTGAGACTTATATTGTTTCAGTTGTCTCGATTTCTCTCTAACGGTCTATAAAAGCAGCAAAGGACACTAAAGACAAGGACACTCAACCGATCAATCAAAAAGACATCCCACTTTGCTCTCAAACAAGTAAGAAACCAAAAAGCTTTAGTTTGTCCATACTTTGTTCTTTTAGTCATAGATTCACCATAGAAAGCCATCTTTTGTCAAGTTTTAGAAGCTCTGCTACTTTTCCCCAGCGTTGTAGTATCGAATCCCTTCTTTGTAAACTCACTTTACCTTTCATTCCCCAAAGGTTACAACCCTTGTAAACACAAAGAGAAGTGGTTGTAAGAGGATGAACCTTGCCCGACAAGGTTATAATATTGGCCAAGTCTCTTTTTTTTTGTACTTACATAAAGTAGATATGTTGTTTAATGCATCTTCCATTATGTTTTAAACCATTTTCAACTATTTTTCAAATTTCATTGGTGAATGATCTAGCTGAACTAATTAACCTTGATTCTCTAGTGTTAATTATAGTCAAAGAAATAGTTGGAAGGGCCCTGAACTCCCTTTATACAGACATATAATATCATGAGTAAAAGTCATTGTTTACAAGGCAAGAAAAAGAACTTTATACAGACTTAACCCATTTGTAACAATCCAGTAAGATCAAGAAGTCTAAGTAACTTGTGGCGCAAATAATCAACCCAGTTAAAAAATCAAAAGAAAAAAAAAAGAACAATCTATTATACAAAGGTAACATTGGCATGCTCAGATCTATATTATTTTTTATTGTGAGCCTCAAGGCCTAACAAAGGCCCCATAAAGGCACCATTCAAACTAATAGCAAACTCACATTGCAGCACACTAAGCAACAAACTTTGCTCGACAAGAAAGACCCTAAAGAGCTATGCGAGGTACGGATCTAGCCCGAAAAGAAATATTACAATATTCAGAAAAATCACTGCAGGTAAACAGAGGGTGACAATCTAGGTTTAGGAATGCCAACAAGGCTCTTTCCTTTCTCAATCGTAAGCCCCACTTTCTCTTCTAAGCTGTCCAATATCTCCAAAGAACATTCCCACTCAAAAGCATGAAGCAATGCTGCCAAGTAAAAGTGGACCATGCGTTGACCAAGCGGCATTCCGACACAAATTCTTTTCCCAGTCCCGAATGGCATTAGGTTAAAATCTTGTCCCTTGACATCGACGCTTGACCCAATAAACCTTTCTGGTTTAAACTCGCATGGTTCTTCCCAGATAGTGTGATCCCTTGCCATCCCCCAAACATTCACGAACACAATACAGTCCTTTGGAATGTGATAACCGGAAACCTCACACGCCTCATTTGTTCTACGAGGAACGATCAGGGGGACGGCTGGGTGGAGTCGGAAAACTTCTTTCACTGCTGCTTGGAGGTAAGGTAGATTGGAGATGTCTCTCTCTTCGACAAACCGATCATTCCCAACCACTTGGTCCAACTCCATAAGAACTTTCTTGTATACATTAGGGTTTCTTAAGATCTCTGTCATACCCCATTCCACAGTGCTTGAGGTGGTCTCTGTGCCTGCGATGAACATTTCCTACAATATCCAAAATCCAAACTGATACTTTAGTTTTAATTTCAATACCTAATCTTTATGAAAAACCATCTTTTGCTTACCTAAATATATGATGCTTCATACTCTAACATTATTATGCCAATGCCTAAGGTTTAAATTAAACATACAGTTAAAATAAGGGTAATGCTAGGGATACTAAATTTGTAGACTAAATTTTGAAAACAAAATGACATAGAAGTTTGATTATTGGATTACTACTTAAGCGTTGATTAACGTGCTCATTTCTAACACATCATTTAGTTTACAAATTTAGTCTACAAAAAATTTAAGGGTCATTTTGGTTCATGTCCCTAATCAACCTAATTGTTAAACTGAAACCTTCTTTGTTTAAATATTTTCATCGAGGTCCTTAACATCATTTAAGAGATTTAACTCATGCATTTATGCATTTAACGCCCTACAAATTATGAATGTAAACAAATTCAAATAATATTTTTAAAATAGGGTAAAGTACAAAAAACTATCTCAACTATTGGTGTCACGACACTTTCATACCTCATCCTTTAAAATTGACAATGTCATACCTAATCTTATGAATTTATGCCAATGTTATACCTTCCGTTAGCTTGGCGGGAATTTCTCAGTTAAATATTGATGTGGCTTGATCCGGGGCCCATTTTCTATTAAAAAATTATTAAAAACTAAAAAAAAATCATTTAATATTTTTAAATATTAAAATAATAAAGAAAAGTAAAAAAAAAAAAAAAAACCAACAATCAATTCGTCCCCTTCCCCCCCCTTCTCTCTCTTCTCCCCATCTACTCTTCTTCCCCCTTCCTGCAACTTCAACCCAGAAAAAAGAAGAGAAAAAAAAAAAAAAAAAACCAATTTGTCTTCCCCACTCCCCACACCCACTCTCCGCACCCAACCTCCCCACCTTCCCACCCACCCTCTGCACCCAACCTTGCACCCACTACCTGCAACCCAAAAAAAAAAAAAACCCAGATCTCGTTAAGGTGGAATCGGGAAAATGGGGGGAATGGATGTGGAGGGAAAAGGGTGGGTAAACCACCGGGGGGGGGGGATGGACGAACTGGGTGTCCTTTTTTTTTCTTTTCCTTCTCTCTCTTCTTCTTCTTCTTCTTCTGCAGGTTGGGTGTGGGGGGGGGGGGGGACAAACCCTTTTTTTTTTTTTTCCTTCTCTCTCTTCTTCTTCTGTAGGACGGATGAACTCGGTTTCCATTTTATTTTATTTTTTCCTTTTCTTCTTCTTCTTCCTCCTCATCCTCCTTCTTTCTAGGTTGCAGGAAGATGGGGAAGAGAGAGAGAGGGGGAGGGAAGACTTTCTATTAAAAATGGGAAGAGAGAGGGGAGAGAGGGGAGAGAGAGAGAGAGAGTTTTAAAAAATTATTTTTTTAATTTTTAATTATTAAAAATATATTTAATTATTAGTGAGTGGATCTGCATGTAGCCACGTCAACACTTAACAGAAAAATTGACGGAGGTATGACATTGGCACAAATTCATAAGATGAGGTATAACATTGTCAATTTTAAAAGATGAGGTATGAAAGTGTTGTGACACCAATAGTTGAGGTAGTTTTTTGTACTTTACCCTTTAAAATATTATAAAAAATATTTTTAAATATAAATACTTTAAAATAAATATTAGAGTAATATTGTTCTTCACAAAATTATAGCAAGAAAATAATGTGCCCACATAATTATTAACATATTTTAAAAAATAACTACTGATATATTTAAAAACATAAAATAAATACATATAATTATCATGGGTACATTTAGCAAAAATAAAAATGGGTACAAATAAATTAAAAAATATGGCTACAAAGGGCACAAAAAGAAATTATTTTATAGGTACAAACTAAAACTGAAAAGAAAATTGGTACAAATTAAAAAATGGTAGCAAATTAAAAATGAGTACAAACTAAAAATAAAAATATAAGATAACCATAAATATAAATATAACAAATGTAACATTTCTAACAAAAAATGAATATATTTAGAAATAAAAAATATTTTATTATTGAAATAATTAATGACGTTTATTAATACCTAAAGACCTTGATCAAAAATAAAAAATGAATAAGGTTTCAATCAAAAGAAAACTAATGAAAATAGCTTCAAATCTTCACATTTTAATCAAAAACCACCTACTAACTTTATTTTAATAATAAGGACAAAAGACTAAAAAAAAAAATCCACAACAAACCTACTAGAGCTGGGTGCGTACCACCCCCCCCCCAAGTCCACTTTTTTTTCTCCTACCTTTTGTCCCATCGTTCAGCTACATTAATAGTTTTTTTTTTTTTTTTTTTGCATAGAAGAAAAAAAACTTCAAATTGAATTACATTCTCTTATTTTATTTTTGTGGTGTTGTTTTCTAATAGTAGTCATGATGATGAGAAACTTTTCAATGTGCCCAGAACACGGGATGGTACACTCCATACAAGTTGTGAGAATCTTGTGTTAAAAAATTAATAACATAAAAAATAAAATTTTCCATCACACTTATATAATAACATGTGGTATGTCATTTGTGTTACGGGCACAAAGAAAATTTTCTCGAAGATGACACACAAGCTCAAGAAATTGATTGGAGAGCTACATTTATTATTGTAGGTATATGAGAAAAGTGAGGAAATTTTAATTTGGTAATTGAAAACAACTTTTTAAATATAATTACTGAGGATTAAACACTATTTATAAAACTTCACCAATAAGAGTCTAAGTTTCAAACCTTATAAAACTGAACCAAGAATTAAACACTATTTATAAAACTTCACCAATAAGTAGACACTATTAATGAAACTAGACCAATAAGTAGACATCATTTATGAAATTGGATCAATAGTAGACACTATTTATGAAACGAAAACAAGAATTAGGCATAATTTGAACACTGGACAATACATTATTTTTGAAACTAGAGTAAGAACTAGACAATATTTATGAATTATGACCAAGAACTAGGCACTATTTATTAAAGTGGACCAATAACTAGACATTATTTATGAAACCGGACTAAGAAAGAGACACTATTAATGAAATTGTACCAATTACTATACATTATTTATGAAACTGGACCCAATAACTAGGCATTATTTATGAAACATGATCAAAAACTAGACATCATTTTATGAAAGTGGACAAAAAACTAGACACTATTTATAAAATTGAACCAATAAATAGTATAGTACTGTTCAGTTTCATAAATAGTGCAGTTTTATAAACAGTGTTCAGTTTCATAAACAGTGTACATGTACTGCACGTGCGTTAGGTTTTTTTTTTTTTTTTTTAATTGTGTCCTTTTCGTTAAAAATTAAGTTTTTTTTGTCTTTTTTATTAAAATTTAAGGGTTTTTCATTAAAATTTAATTCTTTTTCATTAAATAAAGTTTGTAGCATGGTTTTTTGTTAAAATAAACTTAGTCCAAGCTCTTTTCATTAAAGTTCTCTTAAATCAATAGAGTAGCAAAAAGAAGAATGTGAACCTAATTTCTCCAAAATTTAATCTCTCTAACATTACCCTAAAAATAATATCTAGAAACTGATTGCATCCTAAATTACCAAATCGAAACCACCTAATTTTTGGTTTTGTTATGACCCATTACTGATTCGAACCAATTGAGTAGTAACCTTACGATAAAAGTGAAATTTCCACGCCCCCTATCTCCTTTAAGTTATTTAATTCAAAGACTGTAAATAAATACAATAAACTTACTGCAAGCATGGCCTTGATGTTATTTCTGGATAACCTTTTTAATTCGTCTTCTTTGTCACTTCTATAATCCAATAACACATCTAACAAGTCCAATTTGTGCTTCCCAATATTGTTTCCCGTCTCCCGTTCTTCGAGCCTCTCCTTGATAATATTTTCATAAAAGGCATCCATTCTCCAAAAGATCTTTAATATTCTCCGTTTCAGGCCTTGAGGATCAAACGGCTTGAATATTGGGAGGAGATCAGTAACGTTTACTGAGCCAAGAATTTGCATTAACTCCCAGAATGTATGCTTTAGCTCCCTCCCTTGCTTTTTTGTGCTATCAAAAAGGCTCTTACTGCATACTGTGTTACTCACAATGTTGCCCGAGGCCACGAAGGCCACCTCTGCAATGTTCACTGAATTCTTTGACAATGAAGTTGAGTAGAGATGCTTGAGCAACCCGCCATGAACCTATACGAACAAATGAAGCGGTTAAGATTGTTAACTTTTCTTTATACACATCTTTTGACAAACATTTTATTCACATACTAATTTGGTTGGGTGCTGTTATTTCTTATTCGCATTCTAAAAAAATCTCGTTGTATACTCTTCATAAATGTATTTTTCTTTTTAAATATAAAAAATTGAAAATGTACAATTAATTTTTTGGAATGCTAATACCAACGCTTATTTAGTTTTGAGTGCTATATTGTGGAGAATCTCCAAGATAGGATATGTAAGTTGTTTTCTGGATGCCAATAATTGTGTTTGAAATCACATGGGTGGAGAGCAATATTCTTTCCACTTACCTTAGTGCTATTGGGAAACTGCTAGAAAAAAAAAAAAAAAAAAAAAAAAACTAAAAGACCATTATTTCAACCCTAAATGACCCTTTGTCGATAATGATATGGCTTTGTAAGTTTTTTCTTTACAAAGGAGTTGTCTTAACAATATTCATTATCACTTCTAAATGAGAGGTGTAAATATATTTTTATTTTAGTTAGAGTCCTAAGTTATTAGCACTATTAGAAGAAACAGAAAATATAACAGAGTAATGTTACATATGTGGATCTTATCTCTATTAGAGAGATGGTACAAAACACAAATGCTATCATTGTTTGTATTATCTCTCTAATAGAGATGAGACCCACATGCGTTGGTGGGCCATACTTATTTAAGAGATTGTACAAATATATGGTAAATGTAGCACTACTCTATAAATAAATCATGATTTTAGATCATATTATGTAGACCACATACTGGGTCATTTAATGGTTGGATGTTTAAAGAAGTATGCCAATCATCAACCGCTACAGCATGTGGTTTATAAAATATAATTGAAGTAGGTAATCTTTGTAGCATCAGTAAATACCACAAAATAAGTATTATGCGATCCTCAACAGACTAGGGGTGAGTTCGATTTTTTTTGGTTTGGTTTGGTTTGGTTTGTTTTTAGTACGGTTTCAGTTTTTTATTTTATTTTATAAAACTTGATCATTTTTTAATATGAAATTTAGGAAAGAGGCTTGCATCGGTAGACTAATAATAAGAAAATGAGGAAAGTGGAAAGGTAGTTGTACATATACAAGATCATATAAACTAATCTTAATCCATCAACAACCTCAATTGCAAAGAAAAATGATCACCATATCCATTCAAAAAGCAAACAAATAGAGAAGCTCTTCCAAGTTCCAAAGTCTTCCAAAACTTTCATCTATAACCAATGGAATATCTTCCCTAATTGAATCATGTATGCTCCTTGAAAAAACCCTAGACTTAGTTTCAAACTTGGCAACAAAGTTTCACAAAAAAAAAAACATTATAGCCATACATCATAAAGTGTAAAGGAATTCGGTTTGGTTAGATTCGGTTTTTCCTTTTTTGGTTCAGTTTTTTTTTTTTTTTTTTTTTTTTGGATTTTCGGTTTTTTGAACCCACCCCTCAACAATAATTAACAAACAAACCTGTTGCTTGCGAACTGGTTCAAAATCCTCAAAGGCCTTCCGAGAGAAGAGCTCTTCCGTCAAGATTTTTCTAATTACTCTCCACCGTGGACTAGCCATGGCAGCATATACAATGGATGCGGTATCATACGTAATGACACGGATGGCCTCCGTGACTGTACGACTGGAGAAAACAGCCTCATGCTGCCTTAGGGTTTTAGACACCATTTCCGGTGACGATATCACGATGGCTGGCTTTAAACCTAATTTCAGGCTAAAGAGTGGGCCATGAATTTTGGACAGATCAAGGAACTCCTCATGAAGGCGTTTGTTGAGGAGTTGAGGAAGGCTCCCAAGTATTGGCCATCCAGAAGGTCCTGGTGGGGAATTCTTCCAGTTCTTAGGATTGCAACTAAGGAGTCGGATTCCGATTACGATTATTGTAGCCACTGCAATGAGCATGTATAAAGGGAAGGATGATAAATAGGTTGAAATTGCTATGGAAGTGGAAGTAAGTTGCAGGAAATCCATGGTATTTTGTGTGAGTCTTCTCCTATCTGTTCCCTACTTGTCTCTGAGCGTGCTTATATATATCAATTCTTCACTCGATTTATTAATTTAAAATGGCAATTTCACCGGGTGATAATTAAAAACAAAATATAAAATAAAATAAGAGTAATGTTATTCATACCATGTTTTTGTACCACATTTTCATATCATTTTAGGTGGCATTTGATGTGGATAGTCACATCATTTGATTAATCAGATTTTTAAATTTAGTTCATTATTTAATGAACTAATAATTAAGAAAAACTAGTTAATTAAATGATGATTGTAGGATACGATGAGTTTTTCTCCTTCATTTTCTTGGGTTTTGCAAATTTTTCAAATGATGTGTCTATCCACATCAGATGCCACCTAAGGTGGTATAGAAATGTGGCATAAAAATGTGGTATGAAGTATTACTCATAAATTAAAGTAGAGCTAGTGGATTTTTGCTCAATCTCCTGATTGACTAATTTAAAATTATTATAAATAGGCAAAAGTTAGAGAGATAACATTTGCTAGGGACATGAGCGAAACTGGTGCAAAATATCACACTGTAACTTTAGTAGTTATAACACAAAAGGATGTCAGATAAAGAGATGGAGAGATACTGATATTATTTCTTTAGTTCTTTCTTTCGCATTGTGTATTTTGATAACACACATAGTGCTCTAGTTATAGAGCCACATCCGTGATATACAAATTAGGGAAATAATCATTGCTCCTTTTGACATTATCACACCTCCACTATTAATTCACTATACTATAGTCTTCTCATCTTTTGCCAAATGAATGTGGGCATTCATCTCACTAATTTTACAACACTTCCCCTTGGATACCCACATACCAACATCAATTGCCTCGTTAAAACCTTGCTCAAAAAAACCTAGTGGGAAAAAGCCATATCGAATGACAAAGAGTACAACTTTACCTGGATTTTTGATATAATGTTAAGTATGCTTATGTTGCCTCGCTAAAACCTTGATAGGAAAAACCCAATGGGAAAAATCCTAGTTGAAGGAAAAAGAGGACAACATGCATGTATCATAGATACTCCCCCTGTTATGTATCTCCCCTTGATTCCGCATTCTTCAAATTTAGCTAATTGGTAAGCTGACGTAATCCGATACTCTGCACTAGCTTCTAAAATGTGCACTTTGGTGGAGATTTGGTGAATAGGTCTGCCAGATTTTCAATGAAACGGATTTGTATGACTTCAATAACTTTAGCCTTCTAAAGCTCATGTGCACTAAAAAATTTTGGAGATCTGTGTTTAGTCTTATCGCCCTTGGTGAATCATTCCTTCATTTGGGCAACACAGGCTGCATTATCTTCATGGATGATAGTTGGAGTGTCTGTCTTTGAGGGTAGACTACATGAATTTCGGATCTGATGGATCATTGATCTTAACCAAGAGCATTCACGACTTGCTTCATGTAAAGTAAGTATTTCTAAGTGATTTGAATATGTAGCAACTAATGTTTGGTTTGTTGAGCGCCATGAGATTGTTGTATCTCCATTAGTGAACACATATCCAGTTTGTGAGTGGACTTTATGCGGATCAGAGAGAAAACTAGCATCTGCATATCCAACAAGGATCTAATCATTTGTGGATTTTTCTAAGTAGAAGAGACCCATGTCTATTGTCCCATGAAGGTATCACAAAACATCTTTGACTCCTTTCCAATGACGAACTGTTGGAGCAGAGCTATACCTTGCTAACAAGTTAACTGAAAAAGCTATATCCAGTCTAGTACATTATGCTAAATACAATAAAGCACCTATTGCACTCAGATATGGTACTTCTAGACCAATGGCCATTTCATCATCTTCTTTTGGACGAAAATGATCCTTCTTAATGTCTAAAGAATGAACGACCATTGGCGTGCTAAGTGGATAAGCCTTGTCCATGCTAAATCGCTTTAAGATTTTTTCAATGTAAGCTGATTGGTGGACCAAAATTCTATTAGCACAATGCTCGATCTGCTAAGACAATATTTTGTTTTTCCAAGGCCTTTCATTTCAAATTCGCTTTTTCAGATATTCAGCAGTTTTATTGAGCTTCAGGGGTTCAAACTAGGTTCATATCATCGACATATACTGCCACTATAGCAAATCCAGAATCGGATTTCTTAATGAACACACAAGGGCCAATGACATTGTTGGTATATCCTTCTTTAATCAAATACTCACTGAGATGATTATACCACATTCATCCATATTGTTTCAGCCCATACAAGGATCGCCTTTGTTGATGCACAAAATCAGCGAAGACTTTGGTACAACAGAAAGTGTCAGGTTTTGTGACCTTCGCTTGGTTGCTTCGGTCACTAGTGAGGATAAGTACGTAAATGAATAAAGACAGAGAAGCAAACACAGGATGTACGTGGTTCACCCAGATTGGCTACGTCCACGGAGTAGAGGAGTTCTTATTAGTAGTGAAGGGCTTACACAAGTACAAAGGATCAAGCTCTCAATTTAGTGAGTTCTTGTGAATGATTTAACACAAATGGCATTAGGCCATATTGTGGGGGAATGACCCCTATTTATAGAAAAACTTGTAGCTTTGTCACATTGACATGTGTCATGTTATGATTGGTTCTTGATGTCGACACGTGCTGCGCTCTGATTGGCTTCTAATCTTGACACGTGTCGAGTAGTGATTGGCCTCCTGGTCGGAGGGGAACTCTTCTGGGTCCTTGACAGTATAGCGTTGGCCGGTGCTCGGTAGTTTCGGGATTGGTCAAGTATGGTACAAACAGTGCTCCCCTAAGTTCCCGAGTGAGGGAAACTCCTCGGTTGGGGACTTGCAAGATCCAATCCCTTGAGTAATCACGAAACTTCTAAGTACCGAAGTGTGGTCTGATCTTCATCTGCCCTTCTCTGGAAGTACCTTTCCTCCATCCGGGAATGGTGTATTTAGCTGATGAAGATGCACAAGGTAATGTATCAATTTCACTTTGAAGCTTACTTGTAGTTTCGGGCTTGGTCAAGTGCGATACAAACCCTATAGTAGGAGTCCCCCAAGGTCGCCGAGCTAGGAGATCTGCCGAAAGAGGTGACAGACAAGGTAAGCAGTCAAACTTCCAAGTAAGCAACCCAGGATCAGAGGTTTGACTTCGGCTTCCGGTTGATTGTTCTCCTTCTCCTTGTCTCTCATTCAACTGCCAGGATAAGGAGAAGCAAATGGATAAGAGATGATATGAGATACTTTTGCTTTTGAAGAAGTAACTTTCCACAGGCTTATTCTTGAACTGTGCTGGAGGGTTTTCTGGTGCCCTTCAGAGTATAAGGCCGACTCAAAAATTTGAGGGTCAAAACAAGTCCATCAAATCTAGAGTACGTTCGACCTTGATGATATGGGATACTTTTGCTGTTGACGGAATAATGAATGTGGTATGGAAAGGTGTCGTGCTGTAGTGATCTGTTTCAGCTCACCATTGAACCTTCTGCTTCAATCTTTTGCATGGCAGAAGTGGTGTGCAACCTTTGCATTTAAATGGTCCTTCAGAACATTCCTTCATAGTGACTCATCCACGCTTGGCAGCTTCAGTGTAAAGAGCCAATATCTGATCAACTGTCATGAGGCATTTGCCGGTGGAATTCGTGACCTTGACAGCAGTTGAGGATGAGTACTCGAGAGCAATGCTAAGTAAGCAACCAGGCAAAGGCTCCAGGCAGTCAGTTCCAAATTGGAGGTTTGATTTCAGGTTCCGACTGACTGCTCTCTTTCTCCTTGTCCTGCAGGTGTGGACAAGGACAAAGACAAAGACAGGGAGAAAGCATGATATGGGATACTCTTGCTTTCGACCCTGATGATATGAGATACTCTTGTTCTTGGTGTGGCTTTATTTGCTGAGGTATTATCGGGGGGAAATAAAGCTGAGTATTTCGAGAGGTTATGTTGAGGGTGCCTTTTCGAATGCGAGAAAGGGTTGAGCATTTTTGCAGGTTTGCCTGTCCGTTGAGGAGGGAGGTCAATGTATATAGGGATTTCCCAATAACAAGTAGTAATGCTATTCCTTTACCCTTCTTGGTCACAGCAATGTAGTGGGAGCTGCCAGCTTCACGTGTTTTAATTTTGTCAGAGCACTTTGAAAAAGTGGTATGTGGTATCTGGAAAGCTGATGTTACGTGTGAAGATTACAGACAAGCTTTATCTAAGGAAATCTGGCTCTCGAAGTTCTGAGAGTTGTGCCTCTTCGGTTTTCGAACAAGCAATCCCGTCGAGGATCTGACTCTCGAGATTCGGAAAGCGGTGCTACTCCGGTTTTTGAGAAAGTAATTATGTTGGGAGTCTTTTCTCGAATGTGAGTAAAGGTTAGACGTTCTTGCCAACCTGTCTTGCCGCAAAACACGGAGGTCGACATACATAGGGACTTTCCAGTTGTTAAGCAGTGGTGCTGTTCCTTTACCCTTATGGGTAATAGTAGGGTAGCTGGAACTTCGAAATTCTCGTGCCTAAACTTTGTCAGAGATCTTTGACAAAGTTATATGTGGTACCCGAGGAGTTGATGGTGCATATGGAGAGCGGTGATTGAACAGTAAGATTCACGTGCTTTCTACTTCACCAGAAATCTTCGACAGATTGCCCGTAATTTCCGCAAAGCTGAGTGTGCATGTGACATGTGCTGACGAGGCTGAAAAAGCAGGTGCTTCTTCGATTTCTGAGATCGGCCCTCGTGGTCTCTGAGCAGCCCAGCTTTTGAGAAAGCAAACGCCTCTTCGATTTCTGAAGCTCCGTCGAGTGCAGATTTTTATAGAGGCTGGCATTAAGTTCCACAGCACACTTGAATCTCTACCAGTAGAAGCTCATTTCTTGCACTTCTAAGATCTTGATTTGTCTGACCTCTTCCCTCTTCAACACATTTGAAAATGTCTGGACCCTCCGACCGTCGTTTTGACTTGAACCTTGGAGAAGAGACAGCTACGCCTTCTCCAAACAACATATGGCGCCCATCCTTCATATCCCCTACTGGTCCTCTTACCGTTGGGGATTCTGTGATGAAGAATGATATG